AGGAGGATTTTAGTGACTCTATAATCTTACCAACCTAAATCCGATTTCAGGGCATGTGTCAGTATATGTAGATGAAAAGTTGTTTGAGCATTACCTAGCGAAATGGCACTTGTAAAGATCATGCCAGACAAAATGAAGATGATGAGAGATGCTCTCCCTAATATTTTGATGACTTTTCCTACTACATGTTGCCCTGCAAATGCAGCGATTGTAGCCATGCCAGCAAGGTAAAGAGCTGTTCAACACAATTTAACCATGAATCAATATAGGTTGAGGAATTTGAATACAAAAGAAGAAAATTGCTTAAATATAAACATTGTTTTGACTATCATTACCGTATGGGACTGGAAATCGTCTCAGAAGGTAATATTCTACGACTGACATAGACGCAGAAAATGTCATGGCAAATGTAGCTGTGGCACTTGAAACCTACACAAATTTGAGAATAGGATGGGTCACACTATGAATAAATTGTTATTGATTCTAATCCGGTTTTTTAAGGCCAAAATGAGTATGATGGGTGCACCTGAGGAGGGATTCCTATCTCCAGAAAAAGAGGACCCAAAATAAATCCTCCTCCTAGACCCAGCATTCCACCAACTATACCAGCCAAGACACCCAAGGCAGAGTAAATAACCAGCTTGTGTATTTGCCAGTGTGTGCTGGATTCTCCCTTGGATGCAATCCTTCTCCTCCCTTTGTACAGGCTGACTGCCTCATAAGAAGTTACTGCGACTGCTACCGGTATCTGGAAATGACATTTAGTCATCATAAAAAATGATGCACTGGAACAAATTCAAGGCAGTGAGAAAGAAGTAAGAAGATACCTGTGAGAAATTTAGGAGCCAGTATGTCACTGAACATGTTGTTGAGTAATTCTGTGAGCAATTACATATGGAATTTGTGTTAGTTAATGAATGCAAATATGAAGGTTTAAGTTAACTCCATAAAAGTAGATAACCTTAGCAATCTGTAAAGCGAGGATTATAACCCAGACAGCAACAAGAACACCAAGTTCCTTCCAACGTACGTTCTGAATTAGAGAAACCTGGGAACAAGCACAGAAACTTTTCAAAAATTCTTTTCTGGGTCTAAAAGATTTGTTTGTTTAATTTCTTTTCAACAGTTTCCACTTTTTTTTTTCTCTTTGCTCAAGGTCTTACCTTTGATTTCCTAGATTCCCTATTTTCGGTTTGAGTACCATTTGCGGCACCTTCTAGTTGAGTTTTGGTTTCTACTTCAATGTTAGTAGTTTCACCTGATCTCAGAGCAGATTATATAGCATTCTAAATTCCCATAATAAGAAGGAGAAACACATAATTTAGTATAATTAGGATTCACCATTTAAATCAAGTCGTCTTGCAGCTTCCTGCAAAAATTAGATGCAAGTGAGGTAAGGAACACAAGAACTAAGCTGAATTGAAGTTCAGAATCAGCTTGGGTAGAAAATAAGATATGTGGCGTTAAACCTCTTTCTTCTTCAAGGTTTCCTTTTTCCATGTCTCAATTCCTTTGAAGAATGACTTTGTTGACATGCCTGCATACCATTCTGGTTTGTCAATAAAATTTTCCAAGGGAGAAAATGAAAAAAGGAAATGAAAATGAAATGATGTTTACCTAAGAAAAGAACAATTAGGAAAATGGTGATCATCCAGTCTGCAAAGATCACATTAAAACCGACCCCAATACTAATTCCAAGCACCAACATTGGTTGAAACAAAAGTGCGAGGTCATAGTCAATAAGTGGAAGATCAAGTGTGGGATGCCTCTGCCTTATGTTATAGAAAACTGTTGCAACAGCTGCACCGGTGATCATACCTGACCGTAAAGGAATATTCAAGAAAGCTTGGTGACTGAGAAGTTGAAGACAAACAATAACAGAAGCTCAAACCAAAAGATGGTTTCTTCTAATTAATTACATTTTGATATGGCGGTTGATGATTTTGGATCAAATCCAATAATCAGGGCAAGCATAGGAACAAAAATGCCACCCCCACCTACTCCTCCAACACTTCCAAATGCTGCTCCAAAGAATCCAATTATTGTGCCAACAACAATTTTCCAGCCAAATCTCATGTCCTGCACAATACACAAACAATTCACAACCCAATAAAGAAAGGCAGGGAAAGAACATATTCACTGTTTCTAAACACAGATTCATGGGAAAATATCTACTTTCTTGGAAAACAACAGAAAAGAAAAGAAAATAGAGGGCAAATTGTCTCTAGACTACAACGTGTAGAGAAAACTATGAACATAAATTCTCTTTCCTTCTTACAGGGCAAATCCGTACAGTTATCCTTTGAGAATACAGTATGGAAATTGGACTTACCGGCCAGACATGCTCATATCGTTGTTGAGCTTTCTTCTCAAGAAGTTTCCAAGCACTCCTAATAAAATCAATCTTTTCTGTTTCATTGTGACCCGAAGCTTCGTGTCTCGAACTTGGTTCTGCTATAACAAGAACAGAATTCACAACAAGAAAACCAAACAAAATCATTGCTGTCAATCTTAGAACCCCAGCCATCAGATTACTCAATCCTCCTATTCTCATCTCTGAAGTTTTTAACTCAGTCCTGATATGGACGAAGCTCAAGTCAAGCTTCGTTTATCTCCATTTCAAGTAAACCGGAAAGCTAGAGTTGTTTCTCTGTTTTCGAGTTGAGAGTTCAATTATTCATTATATCGGCCATTTTTTGGCGTTTGGGAACAAGACATAAGATGGAACAGAGTTGATCATCTGGTGCTCTGTTACTGCTTTTTAGGTTTTAGCTTGCGTAATGGTGACAGAAAACGAAAAGGCAGATATGAAATTGGGGCTGTTACACACTGAAAC